TTAATGTTCACACACTTACTGCTCCAGCAGGAGCCCATAATAATGGAGATTCAGGTAAGAGAACCCAGCAGTTCCTATGTGTCAGCCTAAGAGCTATTTGAATTGAAACGCGACATCTCTAAAAGTCAAGTAAATGATGATTTTCATTATCTCTTCTATGCGCTCACTTGTCACTCTCAGTATTCAACTGATACTCCAAGTCAGATAAAAATCACACGTGTGTCAGTTTTATTCAACTTCTACACTGGATAAATAAAGCTGGCAGACAAATTTCCTTCTCCAGAGTCAATGTGATTGCTTCCTACCTTGCATCATAGTCATTTCGGATGAGTAGGAGATGCTGCAGGATAGAGAGGAACAGCTGTTCTGTCGGGGAGTCTTTCACTGTGTTCAGAAGAATCTGAAAGACTTCTTGAATATCAGTAAAACGAATGTTAAGGGAAAAAACAAGCTCGGTATTAGATTCTATTTGTTATCTCAGCATTGACTGAACACCCTGTCTGGAAAGAAAAAGAGGATGTCCTTTTTGAACTCTCATTCTGGAAATGCTAGTTGTCTGGTCGTGATGCTCCTTGCATCAATACTTTGGGGTTTATTTACTTTTTAGTAGAGTGCAAAATCTGGTGCAGCTGTGCATGGTAGCCAATCAGCTTCTAACTTCAACTTGCTCAATTAAGCTTTGACAAAATAACACCTGGAAGCTGGTTCGTTTCTATGCAAAATTGCACCAGATTTTGCACTCTCCTATTGTGTCACTAGCCCCTAACAAGTACTACATGTAGATGATGACATTTCTAATATACATAGACTTTTTCCAGATGAGCAATTCAAGTATTGAACCCAGAAGCAATAACAAAGCTAGCATACAGGATTTATATAGCGCCAACAGTTTGCTCAGCGCTTTACAATATAATGGGAGACAATACAGCAACAATAGAGTTCAGTACAAGAGAGATAGGAGGGCCCTGCTCCTCGGAGCTTACAATCTAGGAGTATAATAATAATAATTTCTAGAAGGGCTCAGCAACAGCAGCCCCAATATTTGTTTTCAAAAACTTTAGTTTTAAGAACCAAACTAAAAACATCATGCTACAAGGGTTTCTAACCTGTCACAGAGTGCACATTTTCCAGCTACTCCCAGCTAATAGCCTTTGCTCTGGTATCGAACAGATCATCAGGCCACCTGCAGCTCTACCTGAAAATGGTTGAAATGGGCACCACTCCCGCCACGTTTACTCAAGAGATGGAACTGTTGCCATGTGAAATGTAAAATAATGGCTGGATTGCTTGTTGGGGATTGACCCATTAAACACTCAACATATCAGGCCACCCTGCATGTAGATTGTTCATTCAACTGAACACCTAACCACTGATGAGAATGAGAAAGAAAGATGGGCAGGTGCACTATATGATCAAAGGTTTGTGGACATTCCTCCAAATAACTGAGCTCAGGTGTTTCTAGTAAATGGGGTGTTATTGCCACAGCATACAAAGAGATTTTAGACAAATGTGCAAATCCAACCTTCTGGAAATAGTTTGGGGAAGGCCCTTTATGTTCCGGCATGACTGTCCCTCTGCTTCAGCTCCATACAAACATGGTTTACCAAGTGTGGTGTGGAGGAACGTGAGTGGCTGAAAAGGCCTCTAATCTCAAACCCACTCTACACCTTTGGGATAAACTGGAATGTCGGCAGAAAGCCAGGAATTCAGATACAAATAGCTGACTTCTTTGCTTATTGGGCCTAATTCCAACACACTTCAAAATCTTGTTAAAATGTTTCCCAGAATGGCAAAGACAGTAAAATGGATCCAACTCCATATTACCATCCACGGTATTGAAGAGGGGTTTCCAAAAAGATCATTTGGGTGTTATGGTCAGATAACCCAAAAACCTTAGCCTTAGTGTGTAAAGTCACCTACATATCCTTTTACCAATAAAACGTGATACATTCTGTAAGTTATCCACAATTATTTTCTGTCTGTAGATGTATGTATAGTCGTATGAAGTACTGATAGTGAAAAAGCAAATTTAATTTCTAACACTCTACAAGCAAACTTTCTTTATACAACTGCATAAAGTACAAATATAGATTTGCAACATACAGTATTCTCTGAACCAGAAATGTATTTTTTTCTAGGTATGTACTGCCACCTTATGGTAAATGGTGCAAGCTGAACTGTGAAAAAAACACTAGACCTTCGATCAGGGGTCCTCAAACTTTAACAGGGGGCCAGTTCACGGACCTTTACACTGTTGGAGGGCCGGACTATAGTTTGAAAATAATATGAACAAATTCCTATGCACGCCGCACATATCTTATTTGTAGTGCACACAAACAAGAAAAAAACAATACAATATTTAAAATGCACTGTACACCGCAATGCACTGTACACTAACGCACTGGACACCGCAATGCACTGTACACTAACGCACTGGACACCACAATGCACTGTACACTAACTCACTGGACACCACAATGCACTGTACACTAACCCACTGGACACCGCAATGCACTGTACACTAACGCACTGGACACCACAATGCACTGTACACTAACTCACTGGACACCACAATGCACTGTACACTAACCCACTGGACACCACAATGCACTGTACACTAACGCACTGGACACCACAATGCACTGTACACTAACTCACTGGACACCACAATGCACTGTACACTAACCCACTGGACACCACAATGCACTGTACACTAACACACTGGACACCACAATGCACTGTACACTAACTCACTGGACACCGCAATGCACTGTACACTAACTCACTGGACACCACATGCACTGTACACTAACTCACTGGACACCACAATGCACTGTACACTAACTCACTGGACACCGCAATGCACTGTACACTAACTCACTGGACACCGCAATGCACTGTACACTAACACACTGGACAACAAAATGTACTGTGCACTAACCCACTGGACACCACAATGCACTGTACACTAACACACTGGACACCGCAATGCACTGTACACTAACACACTGGACACCGCAATGCACTGTACACTAACCCACTGGACACCACAATGCACTGTACACTAACACACTGGACACCACAATGCACTGTACACTAACCCACTGGACACCACAATGCACTGTACACTGATACACTGGACACCACAATGCACTATACACTGGACACCACAATGCACTGTACACTGGACACCACAATGCACTATACACTGATACACTGGACACCGCTACGCACTGTGCACTGATACACGGGACACTGCAATGCACTGTACAGTGGACACCGCAATGCACTGATACACTGGACACCGCTATGCACTGTACACTGATACACTGGATACTGCTACGCACTGTACACTGATACACGGAACACCGCAATGCACTGTACACTGATACACCACACAACGCTACACACTGTACACTGATACACCGGACACCACAATGCACTGTACACTGATACACCGGACACCACAATGCACTGTACACTGATACACTGGACAGCACAATGCACTGTACACTGATACACTGGACACCGCTACGCACTGTACACTGATACACTGGACACGCTACGCACGCACTGTACACTGATACACTGGACAACGCAATGCACTGTACACTGATGCACTGGACAGCGCAATACACTATACCTGGTGTGCTCTCCTCCTCTCCTGTCCTGTTGCTCCTCTGGCTGCAGCAAGTGAAATCAGGTGCTTGCAGGCTGCCGCTTGCTGAGTCCTCACAGCAGAGGATCCAGCGAGCAGCCTAGCTATTTGCTGGCCGGCGCCGTTTTTTTTCTCCCTATATTTTTTTTGGCTGGCCAGCGGGCCGGATAAATGTCTTCAGCGGGCCGTAGTTTGAGGACCCCTGTCTTAGATCTTCCCTAAATGTCCCCTACACTCAATTTTATTAATATTATTATTAAAATCCAGATCCAACAAATGTTCTTAGTAATTATACTACAGTATTTCCTCCACTTGATCCAACTGTGTTGGATAAATTTGGAATACTTGATTTATATTAGCGATGTTTTGTGATGATAAAGCTGTTTATTATAGGCTTTATTTGACAAAGACCCAAATGAACATAGTTTGTTTGTGCTTATTTAGCATTTTCCTTGCCAATCTCTTCTTCTGTATTTGCGCACTCGTTGTTTCTTCTAAGTAAAGAATTTGAAAAAAAAATGGTGCAAGTAGTGCAATAGCAAAGACTGAAACGTTACATATTTTTTCTACGGCTTCCTTTTTTCTTTATTTAATGCATGTATCCAGTTTTTATCCAAGGTTACAAATAAAGGATAGATTTATCCCAACATAAAAACTAATATTTATGAGGAGTCTGGTAGGCTGAATCAGCCCATGGATAATCCACAGTAAAATCTCCCTGCCATATTTCCTCTACCATTCCCTGTCAACCTGGGAGCTCTGAGCGGTTCCCAAAATGGTTGGTTATTTTAGCATTTTCAGTTGCCTTCTTCATAACAAAAAGCTCAATAAGTGAAGCAGTACTCACCCTCTTAATGGTCGCAGCAGGTGTGCAGACCCAGAATGCAAGCATGGACATCTGACCAATAAAGGTCCCCCAAAAGAAAGATAAGATTAATGCTGACAGATCAATTAAAAAAGGAGTACTGGCAAAATATGCACCAAGGTCTTCTCACACTAAAATTGCAGACTGACAATATGCTAGCCTGAATCCCCAGTGATCAACTCATCAGCATATTGTTCACATAATAAAGGCATGCCAGTGGTCAGAAAAGATCAAAAATACTCATTATTACTGAATTACAAAAGGTTACTACACTATGAGAAAATACTCCATGTTAAATCTGTTAAAAGATAAAAAAAAAAAACACATATACAGAGTCTAACAGAATCCAAATAGACCCCTGTCCGTGGTGAAGAGATCACCTCTCCTCTACAGTTACCAGAGTATTGTAATACTGCTCTCTCTATTTTTTAAAACCACATCTTGGTCTTTTGAATGTATGGCAAAAGGATATTCCATCTCCAATTTAATGTCATCTAAACGCCCACGCAGGTCATCGGCATCATACTCAGCGTGCTCCATGAATACAGTAAGCTGTACCTTCAGTTCATCATTCTCTATAATTTGCAGATCCTTAATAAAAAAAAAAGGGGTAATTAGTAATCAGACAAAGCTTTCACACATCTTGCACTTCCATAAGAAAAATAAAACGTATAGCTATTCTTTAGATTTTATAGTCTATGAATTGCAGGACAATGCAAAGCCAATAAGGGCAACATGATCAATTGCTTCCATCACAGTTCATGATCACAGCAGGAAGGGCAACAGTAGAGCCCCATTCACAGTTGTGATTCAAGACCCAGTGAGGGTTTACAGTTATAAAGTGTGTGTGGAAGCCCCACTGAAAGCAATGGGAAGTTAACAGCTCTCTAGGACTATATTGGAAAATAAAATCCAAGTATAAACTTGCCAGCAGAAGGGAGACATCTCAAAAATCCAACATATTCAAACCCTGCATACAAGTTTATCTTAGGTATATGCATATCTCTATTCTAGGTTTGAATAGAGTAAAGAAAGGGTTAAAAACCCTATCAGAATATTATTTCGCTTTCTGTGCACTGCTGAGGAGATTTGCCTTTACTTCCGATCTTGGATATGCACCAAGATGAAGGGAATTCTAATCCTAGTCACGAGAGCATTATTCCGCATCTGCAGTATTGACTCGAACCCTTTCCTACTTTATTCAAGACTAAAAATAATAACGTTTGCCTTTACATACACTAAGTAAAGTAAAATCCTACATCAGTTATCAGTAGATCCAGAGATATAGGCAGCTAAAACTACATGCAAATCCTAACTTTTCCTATAAAGGTCAAACTCAATACACGCCCTTCTATCTCTCTAACGGTTAATGAGGCCAGTAATACAGTAACATGTAAATAGGGAAACCTAGTGGATGAAAGGAGGTGGGATCAAGGACAATTGCTGGAAAGGTGTAAAATTTCAGCCGCCTATAGCTCTACACCAACTGGCAATTGTGGGAGTCACTGAAGGTATTTCTCCATCATTCACTTCATCAGTTTCAATTGTTGACACTTCAAGATTATATTATGTTAACTTGAGCTGTGCAGAAGATTGTGTGAAGAGAACAAGGATATAGACTACCTTCATTTTAAAACATTCAGTATACATAACTGAACTAAATTATTTATTTTCACATTTGCCCGCAGTTTCATTTGAACTGTGGTTTCTCATAACACAAGAGCAAACCAGAATTATAAAGAAGTACTAAACGTACTGTAGTTTGCCTAAGGAAGCAAGGTGGTTAGTAGACCAATCTATGTTTAATATGCACAAGACACACTTACACAATATTCTAAAAAAAAAAAGGAACCATTTCTATTCAAAATGCCATATCTAATAGACTGAGAAAACCCTGAAAGCATTCTCATACCTTTAACAAATTATTGAGTCCTGAACGCATCAATTCACTGCGTATGTGAACACGAAAATCCAGCTCATCACCTTGGCTGATCATGGCGTTGATTAGCAGCATACAGCTCACCTAAGGAATAAAAATGGACATGTGATGTATTGATGATTTAAATATGAGATTTTTTTCACTGGTAACCACTTTTAAGTCTATAAGATCAATACATTTTTGAAGACATGAGGTTCTGATTGCACAGAATGCAGGAAAAACAAACACTTAATAAAGACCAGAGGGAAGGGGAAAATGATGCTTGCAGGAACACTCACATTTTTCTTTCAAACATCATTATTTAATCAATGGGAAAAAACAAGGAAAAGAGAATTTTTACAAAAGTCCAAAACAATCCTAATACTATCAATAAAAGGGTACAACCACTGCTCTTAAAGTTAAAAATAAAACAAGAAAAAGAATTGTTGAACAGAATAAAGCATTTCCAGCCTGAACCTGTTCTTTAGCCCCATTCACAATTGAGCCTTTTTCTGCTCAGTTCCCTTCACCTGACTACACCCAACATGCAGAATCCTATTATTTTTAATGGTCCTATTTTAAATTTGTAGGTTAAGTTGCACTATACTCTACACCAGCAGTCACAAAATGGCGGATTGCGGTCCGAGAAAAGCCCAGCAGCAATCCCTTCTGTGAAACAGAAGTTTCATTCAAACAGGGAAAGGAAGCGTACTGTGCCTAAGGGGAGTGATGGGGTCTTCTGGGGGAAGCCAGGTTAATGAACCAACTCTTTTTGGCACCTGTCATTGCCTATGAATCATGGTTTGTAAAACTTTATTTCAGGAACAGGAACACTTTGAAGTGAAACTTTTTTCTAAACATCTTGCTGTGACCCTGTACTTGCATTTTAATAATATAAAAACCATTAAACACTATCTCCGCTCAGAGAAGCGCAGGCAAGATTTCTATTTTCAAGTGTGGTATTAAGCAATGAAGATAAAACCAAAATGAAAGCGGCAATAATACCTTGAGTGTTACAGGTGTTCCGCTTTTTAGCCCATCCAGAAGAGGTTTAAATCGTTCCATCTCATCCATCTCTGCTCTTTCTGTGAGTGCTTCAAGGACACGTTCATGCCTAAAAGCAAAGCAAGTAATCAGTACCAGAAAATAAAGTAAAAACAGTTGACAAGAGCCACAGTATTAAAAGAGAAAGTTCAAAGAGAAATGAGACATGAAGCAAAAACAGAGCGCCTAGTATATTATTTTAAAGTACTAAAGTACCACTAAACGAACTACATCAATTTTATAAAATTATTTTGCATAAACTGGTCTAATAACATGCATTAATAAATAAGTAAAGCTTTAAAGAGAAAAGAGAATCAGAAAAAAAATATATACTAAAAACAAAAAGTGGAGTAATTGAAAGAAAGAGCTGACTTCCTTTCCAGTACCTTTGTCATTTCATAGGCTCCTTTTACTTAAAAAGGGCATCTAAAAGTGTAGTGTAATGTATATATATATATATATATATATATATATATATATACACATATATATATATATACACACACACACACACACACACACACAGTGGGGCAAAAAAGTTTTTAGCCAGCCACCAATTGTGCAAGTTCTCCCACTTAAAAAGATGAGAGAGGCCTGTAATTGGCATCATAGGTAGACCTCAACTATGAGAGACAAATTGAGAAACAAAATCCAGACAATCACATTGGCTGATTTGGAAAGAATTTATTTGCAAATTATGGTTGAAAATAAGTATTTGGTCACATATAAACAAGCAAGATTTCTGGCTCTCAGAGACCTGTACCTTCTTCTTTAAGAGGCTCTTCTGTCCAGCACTCATTACCTATATCAATGGCACCTGTTTGAACTTGTTATCAGTATAAAAGACACCTGTCCACAACCTCAAACAGTCACACTCCAAACTCCACTATGGTGAAGACCAAAGAGCTGTCGAAGGACACCAGAAACAAAATTGTAGACCTGCACAAGGCTGGGAAGACTGAATCTGCAATAGGCAAGCAGCTTGGTGTGAACAAATCAACTGTGGGAGCAATAATTAGAAAATGGAAGACATACAAGACCACTGATAATCTCCCTCGATCTGGGGCTCTACGCAAGATCTCACCCCCCGTGGGGTCAAAATGATCACAAGAACGGTGAGCAAAAATCCCAGGACCACACGGGGGACCTAGTGAATGACCTGCAGAGAGCTGGGACCAACGTAAAAAAAGGCTACCATCAGTAACACACTATGCCGCCAGGGACTCAAATCCTGCAGTGCCAGACGTGTCCCCCTGCTTAAGCCAGTACATGTCCAGGCCCGTCTGAAGTTTGCTAGAGAGCATTTGGATGATCCAGAAGAGGATTGGGAGAATGTCATATGGTCAGACGAAACCAAAATAGAACTGTTTGGTAGAAACACAACTCGTCGTGTTTGGAAGAGAGAGAATGCCGAGTTGCATCCAAAGAACACCATACCTACTGTGAAGCATGGGGGTGGCAACATCATGCTTTGGGGCTGTTTCTCCGCAAAGGGACCAGGACGACTGATCCATGTACAGGACAGAATGAATGGGGCCATGTATCGGGAGATTTTGAGTGCAAACCTCAGCAAGGGCATTGAAGATGAAACGTGGCTGGGTCTTCCAACATGACAATGATCCCAAACATACCACCCGGGCAACGAAGGAGTAGCTTCATAAGAAGCATTTCAAGGTCCTGGAGTGGCCTAGCCAGTCTCCAGATCTCAACCCCATAGAAAACCTTTGGAGGGAATTGAAAGTCCGTGTTGCCCAGCGACAGCCCCAAAACATCACTGCTCTAGAGGAGATCTGCATGGAGGAATGGACCAACATACCAGCAACAGTGTATGCCAACCTTGTGAAGACTTACAGGAAACGTTTGACCTCTGTCATTGCCAACAAAGGATATATAACAAAGTATTGAGATGAACTTTTGATATTGACCAAATACTTATTTTCCACCATAATTTGCAAATAAATTCTTTCCAAATCAGCCAATGTGATTGTCTGGATTTTTTTTTCTCATTTTGTCTCTCATAGTTGAGGTCTACCTATGATGCCAATTACAGGCCTCTCTTATCTTTTTAAGTGGGAGAACTTGCACAATTGGTGGCTGACTAACTACTATTTTGCCCCACTGTATATATTATATATATACACACACACACACACACACAAAGTGCTCAGCATGAATGAGTACACCCCAACAGATTTGTCAGAAATCCTTTACTTTCCTTTCAGAATCAACATTTTTATTTTTTTTCATGGAACACTATACTACAAAATACTCCCAGAAATGCGGGCCATTGATTACAAAGATTTAATTTGCACACACGAGGAGTTCGGCAGTACGATACAGATCAGAACAAGATCAAATCATCAAAACATTGTCTAGATCAGTGTTTCTCAACCTTCAGTCAAGGCACCCTATGGATAGTCTCAAGGCACTCTTTAAAATTCTGCACAATCTCAAGTCACCCCATTATAAAATGTAAAAAACTATTCTATATACATCCAGTACACCCAACGTTAGAGGTGATTTATTCTTCCAAAGCAAATGCACCTTTGGACACTGGCACTGACTAATATTCCAGTGTGTCTTTGTTTCTCTCTGCTAATGTGACTCCAGTGCTGACAGAGAGGAGCAGGGGAGGGGCAAACAAGGTTGATGTGCATGCACCCCACATCCTCCTCATCAGCTGATGTCATTGATGGTTAGGATGCAGGCAGCTAGAAGGTCATAAAAGTGAACAATAAAAACCTGTGGCTTTGTGTGGTAAAAGGCAGGGTTATATACAAATTTTGGGCATTTTGCCAAGGCACCCCTGAAGAAGCATGAAGACACACCAGGGTGCCTGGGCACCCTGGTTAAGAAAGGCTGGTCAAGATACAGACACAAATAGGTGTTCTAAATACATCCAACAGTGCAAAACACTCTGATATCAGGAGTAAATGGAACATATCACAAAAACATATACTATGAAGTATATCAATAAGAAGTCTATTGCTGGTAGCGGATGTCGAATTCCAAGGAGTTTTATTCAATGTTTCTGTACAATAGACTAACAGTGATCAATAGTGCACAAGAGTAGTAGTAGGAAAAAGTGAGAACTAGAATAAGAGGAGGGATAGGGACCAGGGGGAAGGGGGGACTGGGGGGTAAAAATAAGAGGGAAGGGAAGAGAGGGAGAGCAGGGAGAGGCTAGGATTAAGGGGGGAGGCTGAAGAGTAGTAAATATTGTAGAGCTATTTCCCTCTCAGAGTTTCATGCAGAGGACCTGGCAACTGTAATTTTGCTCTGGAGACAGATTAAGGGCTCGTTCACACCTGACTGTTTTTCCAACTCTTGCCAAACGCCCCTATAGAGTTTGACAAGCATTTTTAACGTTCCACAAACGCCGCATGCGCGGTTTAGCGGCGGTTGCCAAGCATTAAAAATGCCCCACAAACGCCTATAATGAAGTTTGAATGGTGTTAACACTCTGAAAACGCCCCGCAACCACGTCACAACCGGCCGGGCATTTGCGGAGCGGCACCATTGACTTGAATAGGAGGTTTCAACTCCTCCTGACTCGACCAGAGGCGTCTGTTTTGCCACGACGCTAACGCTCCCATTTGAACAGCACCATGTTCTGCAATGTGCAGAATTTTCCCAGGCGTTTGGGAAACGGTAAAAACGCTTCCCAAATGCCTGTCTGCCGCTTGCTAACAAGGCTAGTGTGAACGTAGCCTAAGACTGAGTAGTCAACGAAGTCTGGTCTCTATAAAAGAAGTAGGGAGTCCAGATCTTCCAGTACTTGTACTCCTGCACTGAATATAAGTTTTTGTGCCCAAGGTTCTTCTTGGATATCTTACATTTGCATGTTAGGAAAGTAATCTTACCCATCATAAGCTTTGGAAATACAAATTGATGCATTGTTCACAGAGGGTACTTTGCGAAAAGTGTATAATCACAATGATCAGCAGATCCAGGTGATTGCACAAGGCAAACATGGCCTCCTTCCCCTTTCCGATCCTCTATATTGATTCTAAGTAATGGACAGCATTACTAACTTGTAGGGAAGCTCTGGAGGTTGAAGGGATGCAGCCAAGGTCATTTCAGAGGAAAAGTCTAGATTTTAGATGTCTAAATAATATATATCACAAATGATCAATTATCCAAAGTGTTCATGGCACTCAAGAACAAATTAATGTTACACAATTCTGCTATACAAACTTTATATATAAAAAAAAGTTTCAATCCCAGAGAGTGTGATCCTTGCAGGGGTTATGTTAGCAGAGAATGTATAAAACCAATTAAGTTTAAATTATTTAACAATTTCAAACAATATTTATATTACTATGCTATGAACTGTATTTAAAGTCATTTAAGTATATTCTTAATTATTCATCACCATTGGGCTTCCAATTCCCAGTTGGTAAAATCTAAATTTTTAAACAAATAAAATATAAGTAATTTCATATTTTTAAAACATGTTTTTATTTAATGAACTGCAAACTATGCGTTATACTCTAATAAAAATAGTAATTAATTGTTAGTTCCATGCTGGGCTGCCAATGCCAGGAAAAATGTCAAGATGATGCACAGCAATTCCGCCCCAGCAGCAGGAAAATGAGGGGAGATTCTGCAAGAACACTTTAAGATATGTGCAAAACTCTCACAAATGTAACTCCTTGGGGTCCTATGTAACAATAACTGCAATGCCATATTAAGTATAATGCCTAATATATGGACAAACAGACCACAGCTTCAAGCTCAGCTAAAATCTGTTAAGCAAGAATCATGGAGGTGGGAACAGAACATTGCTTCTGAAATTGTTAGTTCACCAACTGTCATTCTAGTGCATTGGCTTCAAGGTTCTCAGCATAACTGACCAGGAACAAGTATAGATAGGTAAACAAATCAGACACTTCTTACCAGCATGAACGTTCCAGGCCATTGACTCATGAAGCATTCATACCAAACAGCCCGGAAACAAGCAATGTTTGAAAATAAGCCAGCAATAGCAGCCCCTGTAATTCTCCAATGACAGGGTCACTTTAACCACTAGCCTACAGGGCACTTATACCCCCTTTCCTGCCCAGGCTG